AGAGAACTGAAAGGCAGGCAGCAGTGCTGGAGTGCAGGAGCAAGGGACAGAGTAACCTGAAACAAATGGAAATAAATTACACCTAGGAAAAGGAGATTCTTGAAATATAAAAATAAGATAAAAGAAACAAGAACTGTTTTAGTCAAATTAAACATCTTTAAAAATATAAAAAGCATTATTCCCATTTAACTGGAAAAGTTCTAAGGAAGTATTCTAAATTTACAATTCTCGATAATTTGTTATTCATCTCTTAACTGCCGTTACCTTGTCCAGAACAGCAGTCATTTCTCCAGGTCCCATCTTAAACCATAAGTATGTTAAGATTTTTTAAGGTATTAAAATCACCCTTCATACCTATCAAGAACATCTTTCCACAATCAATTGACCTCAATATTCATGGAATGGCACAAATAATTCCAGCTGTAGAATCAAACAGCCCTGGATTTCAAGATGTTACCTATCCCTTCTAATTCTTAGATTCCACATCTGTAAAATGGGGTTAATAATCAAATTTGATGATGGGGATTTATAGGGTCTAAGTGATAATGTAAGAATGAAGAATGGTATAAACGAAGACAAACTTGGTGCAAATCTCAACTGCACCACTTAAGAGCTGTGTGACTTTGAGCAAGTTACTTAACAACTCACTGCCTAGGTTTCCTCCTCTGTGGCATATGTTTCAAACAGTACCTACCTTTACAGTTTTAAGAATTAAATAATTCATGTAAAGTACTTATCACTCCATAAATAAGAACTGCAATTAGTAATAAAATTTTTTATTGTTGTTCTATACTTAAGAAAAGTACTTTCTAACAGTCTCATTAACAAGATTTGAGACCTTCTTCCACTCTGCCCTCAGTCAAGTCATTAAAACTGACAATCCTAGGGACTCTCATTTTCGTCTAAGGGTTATTGGACGTTGGAACATATTAACAGGTAAACTTTCATTATTTCTAAAATATTTTTTCAGTAGCGTAATGCGCAACTACTTCGTTAGGACCATTAAATGTAATCCTTCCTGAAGACTGGGATTCTTTTGTAGAACTAACAGAACTCTTGAGATTCCTTTTAAGTCAATAAATTAGTGATTTCATTTAAAGTTCCCACAACTTGCAAATTCATTAGATATTTTTACTGCCTATAATTTTGCATTTCAAAATGCATGCTAAGTTCCATAAAAAATCAGGGTCTTATATGTAGTTCAATGTACTTGGTGCATCTGTTATAAATTAGCTTCAACTCCTTCAGATAGAATAAAACAATCACAAAACTCCAAAACTGTGACATTCTAAGCAAAACTGGGCCACTCCAAGAATTTTTACTGAAATTGAGTTAGATTTACAATGTTAAATCCAATCTCTCTATTTATAATTAACATACAATCTATATTAGTTTCAGGTGTACAGCAATTCGACCTTATGAAATAATCACCACAATAAAACCAGTTATCATCCGACACCATACAAAGCTGTTACAGTATTACTGACTATATTCCCTACATGTACATTACAACCTCCTGACTTATTTATTTTATAGCTATAAATTTGTACCTTTTAATCCCCTTCACCTATTTTGCCCATACCCCTATGCCCCCTCCCCTCTGGCAACCACCAGTTTGTTCTCTGAATCTATGAGTGCGTTTCTCTTTTGTTTGTTTGTTTTTTAGATTCTACATGTAAGTCAAATCATATGTAAATCCAATCTCTCTACACCAAAAAATGTCACGGCTCTTCCACAGTATCCCAGAAGCTGAATTACTTGAAGGAAATCCAATACAAAAAAGCTGGGAACTTAACCAATTCAATCCACTCAAATTCAGCGGGGTTCCACAAGGTGGACTGTCTCTTCTAGGGCTCTTGGCCTACCTAGCACCAAAACTACCATTCAGGGTGGAAATTAACACTCTGAAAGAGGTTCTGAGTAAGAATAGCTCAATTTTTAAAAGTGAGGAACTTGATAAATATGATCTTGCTGAAGATCTAGTCCTGTTTCAGTTCATGTATCAGAGACCATTCTGGCATTAAATTTACAAACTGGCTAACATTCTAATAAGTAATTTGCTTCCTATTTAGTTAAGCGTAAACAGACAACCTCCAAACTGTCTCTAAGTATCTTTTAAACATCTAAAATTGCTTTGAAATAGCCTCCGTGAAAATAGAAATGTTACAGCCAAAACACAACATTGAGATACAGAATATAACTTTCTTTTATAAGAATTTTCAATACAGTTCCAGAGAATAATAGAATATCTGGGTTTAAAGGCTGAGAGGAAACTTTTTAAACCATTGTGACTCATTTTACTGAGGAGGAAACTAAAATCATACAATGCAATAAAATCGTTTAATGCAGAAATCTGTTATAAGAAAGGAAAATTTCCAACAAAACTTCAGGGTTCTAATACTTCAAAAGGCTAATTTTTTTGGCCATTACAAGTGCAAAAGCAGCTCTCCCAGATTTGGCTACCACCTCCTGCCCAGTGCCAACCGTAATGGATGATCAGAATATGTAATTGCTGATAGCTGCTGAATCGACTAGATGGAAGCAATGATCCTACTTCATGGGCTTAAGTTAGACACAGACTTTAAGAAAAATAAAATATTTTGTTCCTTACACACTAACAGGGATTTTCTTTCTTTCTGTGGATGATGGATGATGGATTTTGTTACTATTTTAAACTATTGTTTTGTTTCTAAGGAGTCATTCACCTTTAGTTAAAAATTAAAAGATAATGATATTGGTAGTAGTAGTAGTGGTAGTAGTAATAGAGCAGTAATCATAATAGTAATAATGTCTAACACTTATGTAGCACTTAAGTAAGTGCTGGGCACTGCTTAGTACATTAATCTCTACATTTAATCATTTAGTTATCTAACCATTATATTAAGTGCATTTAAACCTTACAATTACCTTGTGAAGAAGGTATACTATTATTCTCATCTTATAGATGAGGAAACATGGTACAAAGAGGTTAAGTAACTTATCCAATATCCTCATGGCTAGTAAGTAGCGGAGCCAGAATACAAACCTACACAACCTGATTTCAGAGTAAAAATAATTCATTTCATCAATGGAATTAAACTAACTACATATAAATAATACTAAGGACATCAAAAACAAACACATTGCATAATTTTTAAGTTCGGAAAAAAACAGAAAAATTCACCTTGTTTTTCTTCCCTTTTAAAACCTGAGTCCCCAAATGACAAAATATATTTCAATCTACATATGTAAAAAGGTGCAAATATCCTAGTATATCCTATTGTTTTGTTCCACCATCTATTCCACAAACTAAGCTCTTTTTTTCTAGCTCTCTTAGAAGTCAGAAGTGAATCACCGCATCCATGTAAATTAACTAAAGGACTAAGAATTAAGGCCGCCTACATCCACATGACATTATCATTTGTGCCAAGAAATTATTACCCACAAAGATAAAGCTGTAAATCATTAAATAACTTCATTGTTCACTTCAGGAACCTCCCAAAAGTCCATTTATCTCAACAATAGTCTATTCAAACAGTTCACAATATTCCCTCAACTGGGCAAATAACTCACTCATCAAACAAAATACTTTTAAGACTTGGTTAAAATCCTTGCCTCACTGTTTCTACTAATTCTAAACTATTATATCATAAATGTTGCCCCATTTCAATCATATCACCGCATTGACAGACCCACCTTACATATCTCAAGGTCACACCTGAAATTCTACAATATCTGCCGTGACCTCTCCATTGTGAAGTCCACTAAGACTCCATCCAGGTGTGATCTCCTTACTGTAGTAGGCAGTAAACTCAGTCTTGCTTAATCAACAAGCCATTCAGGCCTTCCTTGGGGGAGTGGACAATCAACAGAAGGTAACACTCCCTGTTCCATTTCAGCTGCTCTCTTCATAACTCCTTTTTAAAAAATCTCTTCTTCTAGACCACAGGTGAAATTAAATATACCAGGAAATCAGATCATTATAGAAAAAGAAACATAAACCAGCAATTGAAAGGGGGCCAAGTAAAGCTAATAATAAATTCAACATGAAACTTCAAACTATATTTAATTGTAACCACAGTTTAAGCTGAATTGGGTTAACTACACATTTCAGAATGGTTTTAAAGCATCCCTAAAATTGAGGTTTAAAAAGAAACAAGGAAAAAATGCCCTGAAATGTCAAAGTTTAAATATTCTGCCATCTGATTAGATTTAACAAAAATTTCTTATACTTTAACTCATATGCCTCTACTGTTACATATCAAATATGGGTATATGAAATATAGTTTTAATCTTTAAAGACTAAAAATTATTTAAACTCATATAATATTTAGAAAATGAAATTTTTAAAAATCCATTCATTCATCTATTATTTAGTATATTCTAGTTTTTTAAGGATGATCTTTTAAATTATACCCCATCTCATTTCCAAAAGGATTTGGGATGGCTGACAAAAATACATTGAACAGACTAAAACAAACAGATGAAGGAAAATGAAGAAAAAATGTACAAACTCTCTCTCTCTCTCTCTCTCTCTCTCACACACACACACACACACACACACACACACACATCAGTCAAAGAACTTTGTTTCAGATACAGAGAACCAAAAGAAGTTTCTATAGCTTTCTCAGAAAGGGCATACTGCAGATATGGTAGATATTGTTCTAGATTAGGAGTGCTGTTTAAGTGAATTAAGTGAATCACAGTCATGTTGTTGGGAGGAGAGGAGGCAGATTAAGTCAAGGAATCAAGACCAGTAACAGGACGAGCATGACCATGCAACCCAAGGAACACCTTTTAGAAATGCTCAGATACAAAGAGAAAGATACAGATTCAGATAGATTTTGCCCTCATATTATGTCACCTTTATTCATGTGCCTTCAAAAAAAATGAATGAAAATATTAAAATTATACTTTAATTTATATATATAAAATATATCAAGAAAAAACAAACATTAACAAAATAAGCTCCTATTAGCAAAATGTATTGGCTATATTGTATTCAACACAGCACTTACCTTCGCTGATGGCGTGGGGCTTAACAATGCAACAAGTAATACAGCTGGTAAATTTAGCAGTGTTTGCTGGCCCACAAACTCCACTCGAAGGAAAAAATAACTCCATTTCCTAAAGACAGAAAGAAATGACTTTGGCACATGTAATCTTGTTACAAATCTGTAAAACAACTCAGGAAATGTGCACAGAATACTATTATCCAGGTACTTCAGAGAGGAGCTAAAGCAGAGGATATGAGGGAAGTGTCTGCCTCAGGAAGGCCCCAGAGGGTCCTGCTCCATTACAATCTCTTTTCAAACTCCTAGAATATTTACGTGAGAGGAGGAGAACTATGCAATTACTTTTAAAGTTTCACAACATAAATTCTTTTCTTCAAATTTTCTAAAAATGCTTTTTACAAAGACTAACTGAACCTTGTTTTAAGTCTTAAAAGAACATATAAAGAAGTATTAAAGCAATGACAATATGTATCATTCTGTCTCAGGATTAAAGTTGAGAATGTCTTAACATATTTTGAATATTGGAAGTAATCAATACAAAGTTCTTATTTTACCCAAAGCATCAGTTTATGAGACACAGGTCCAATTTTAAACTTTTCATTAAAATATGTAAAATTCAATTAAAAATTAGGAAGTCTTTATAGAAACAGATTAGTATTCAAGAATCAGAGCTACAGTTAAAACTAATTAACTACATATAGTGCTAAAGTCAAATCACATGAACCTTATTTTATAACCAGATTCAGGCTGTGCTATTTGCTTTGCACATAGTTTATTAAAATAACCACCCAGCAATTTGAACTAGCCACAAAGATGGCCACACTAATCAGTAAACTATTTAGACATATGCTTTCCTGCTTCTAAGCTTCTACTAGTATTATTTCTATTCCCTACAAAGCCCTCTGTTCCAAAGAACCATACCAACGTGTAAAGGGTCACTTTAAATATTATCTCCCCCAGGAGCCCCTTTTGATGCACCCCAATCAGTACACTGTACTCCTCCAAAGTTGTGGTTATTTTGGTAATTGCCCCCCATGAATTATAAATTTGAAGAAAAGAACTAACTTGCATAGCTGTGTAGGTCCTTTAGCATCTAAAACAAATAGCTCAAAGTAAATACTCACTTTTCACTGAATTTAAAAATTGAAAGATCGTAGGATGTGTTAGTGTACCACACTGGTGTTCATTAAGAAAAAAAAAAAAAAAACGATCTCGGGAAGATGAGGAAAGGTTCAAATAGTAGTGTATATACTTGAGTGATTCTGGGGTTAATGACACTTTAGAATTAAAATGTTCCATTCCTTAGACAAGTATCCTTCTATCGTATTGCTGCCTTTGCTTATTACTCTTCTTGATCAGTAACAGCAACTACCGCTTGTAGTCCTGTACCAGATGCTTTGATTACATGTTCTCAGAGAACGTGTAAGGTACAGGTGAAAACTCAGATACCTACAGGGTCCTGGTAGGTAATCAATGAGTGAATGAAGTAAACCTGGTGTGACAAGATGGCAGGGTAGAGGGTTGCAAACTGGAAAGGGCATGTCCCGTCTACAGTTCCCCTTTCTCTGCTTCCTTTGCAACAAAACTCCTCAAAAGAGATGTCTTTATTCTGTCTTTACTTCTCTTCCATTTCCTCTTAAACTTACAACTAATTAGGCTTTCATTCCACAAAGGCTATTCATGAAAATCCCTAATCACCTCCACGTTGCCAAGTACCCTGGTTAATTCAGACCTCACCTTACCTGACCCAAAAGCATTTGACACAATTGATCCCTACATCCTGGAATGCTTTCATCACCTGGTTTTCTTCCCACTGCTCCTTTTCAGTCTCCTTTGATGATTTTCTCCCCTTGGGCAGACCCCTAAGTACTAGAGAGGGGTCTAGTACTATCTATTGTCACTATTCTACCTATCGTCACTCTCTTGTTGAGGCCCTCAAGTCCCATGGCTTTAAATGCTACCTGTATTCTGATGTCTCCTACATTTTAATCTCCAGCCCAACCTCCTCCCTAAACTCCACATCCATATCTACCACTTACAGACATTTCATATTTAAAACATCCAAAACAGACTTCGAATTTCCACTGTCTCCCATAAATCTGTTCAATCCCACCCTTTTCCTTACCCTTCAATTGCACAAGCCAAAAATAAATAACAAAAACAAAGAACACAGTGATTCTTGATTCCTCTCTACCTGTCCAATCTATCAGGAAATCCTTTCAAATATAACCAGAATCCAACCACCTACCTGCACATCTGTCACCCTGGTCCATGTGACATGCCACCACCATCTATCCCTTTAATACCTGCACTAACCTCCTAACTGATCTCCCAGTCCAACTTTTCCCACAAGTACCCCTACCCTGCCTGGTCTATTATTAACACAGCAGTCAGAATGAAACTAATAAAAACAGATCATGTCACTCCTCTGCACAGAACCCTCCACGACCTCCTATCTCATTCAGAATGAATTTCAAAGTCCTAGATATCCTAAAAGGCCTTATGTGACCTGGGCCCTGACTATATCTGACCTAATCTCCAGCTATTTCCATGAAACACATCTCTGCCCCAGCATCACTGGCCTCACCTCCTCACTGTTCCCTGAACATAGCAAATACGCTCTCACCTCAGAGTTTTTGCATGTATTGTTCCCTTACTTGCTGGAACACTCTTTCCCCTAGACATTTGCTTGGATTTCTCCCTCACTTCCTTCTGATCGCTCCTCAAACCAGATATTATAAGGACTTTCTATATGCTATATTTAATAACATTCAACACCTCTACTCCACACACAATCCTGGTCTTTTTCTATATCCTTCCCCTGCTGTATTTTCTTCAGAGCAATTACTAATAGACATCAGAGTTATAGGTCTATTTATTTACTATCTGACATGCCCCCCATCAGAAAAGCTATAAGCTCCATGAGTCAGGACTTTGCGTTTTTCACAGTAGCTTCTCAATAAATAGTTTGGAATGACTGAAATTCAGAAACATTTTATTTAACATATGTAGAATTTATATGGACACAGACACTCCGAAAGATTAAGAAACAAGCCCTTGCAAGTTAGCAAGTGGCAAAGTGATGATTCAAATCCAGGTCATACTGACTCCAAAGTCCTGAACTTTTTCTATCACCTTTCTTTCAGACATAAAAAGCTATGCTAGAGGGGAGACCTTCAAGATGGCGGAGGAGTAAGACGTGGAGATCACCGTCCTACCCACACATACATTAGAAATACACCTACATGTGGAACATGGGGTTTGCTTTCTGCATCTAATGTGTTTCTGATTTTCTGCTTATCTTAGTTTAGTATTTACAGTTTATTACCATTGGTAGATTTGTTTATTGATTTGGTTGCTCTCTTCCTGTGATTTTTTTTTTAATATATAGATATATATACATTTTTCCTTTTTCTCTTTTTGTGAGTGTACGTGTATATGCTTCTTTGTGTGATTATGTCTGTATAGCTTTGCATTTACCATTTGTCCTAGGGCTCTGTCTGTCCTTTTTTTTTAGTATAGTTTTTAGTGCTTGTTATCATTGGTGGATTTCTTTTTTGCTTTGGGTGCTCTGCTCTTTCTTTTTTTTTTTTTTGCTTTCTTTTTTTCTTTTCTTTGCGGTACGCAGGCCTCTCACTGCTGTGGCCTCTCCCGTTGCGGAGCACAGGCTCCGGACGCGCAGGCTCAGCGGCCATGGTTCACGGGCCCACGCGCTCCGTGGCAAGTGGGATCTTCCCGGCTCGGGGCACGAACCCATGTCCCCTGCATCGGCAGACGGACTCTCAACCACTGCGCCACCAGGGAAGCCCTTTTTGCTTTCTTTTTAAATTACTTAATTTTTTAAATTCTTACTAATTATTTTTTTCATAATTATTTCTTATTTTAATAACTATTTTATTTTATTATTATTTTTCTTTCTTTCTTTCTTTCTGTTTTTCTCCCTTTTCTTCTGAGCCATGTGGCTGACAGGGTCTTAATGCTCCGGCCAGGTGTCAGGCCTGTGCCTCTGAGGTGGGAAAGCCGAGTTCAGGACATTGATCCACCAGAGACCTGCCGGCTCCACATAATATCAAATGGCAAAAGCTCTCCCAGAGACCTCCATCTCAACGCTAAGACCCAGCACCACTCACCGACCAGCAAGCTACAGGGCTGGATACCCTATGCCAAACAACTAGCAAGACAGGAACACAACAGAGAACACAACCCATTAGCAGAGAGGCTGGCTAAAATCATAATAAGGTCACAGACACCTGAAAACACACCACCGGATGTGGTCCTGCCTACTAGAGAGACAAAATCCAGCCTCATACACCGGAACACAGGCACTAGTCCCCTCCACCAGGAAACCTACACAACCCACTAAACTAACCCTAGCCAATGGGGAAAGACACCAAAAACAACAAGAACTACAAACCTGCAGCCTGAGAAAAGGAGACCCCCAAACACAGTAAGATAAGCAAAATGAGAAGACACAGAAACACACAGCAGATGAAGGAGCAAAGTAAAAACCCAGCAGACCAAACAAATAGGAAATAGGCAGTCTACCAGAAAAAGAATTCAGACTAATGATAAAAAAAGATGATCCAAAACTTGGAAATAGAATGGGGAAAATACAATAAACGTTTAACAAGGACCTAGAAGAACTAAAGAGCAAACAAACAATGATGAACAACACAATAAATGAAATTTAAAATTCTGTAGAAGGAAGCAATAGCAGAATAACTGAGGCAGAAGAACGGATAAGTGACCTAGAAGATAAAATATGGGAAATAACTACCACAGAGCAGAATAAAGGAAAAAGAATGAAAAGAATTGAGCACAGTCTTAGAGACCTCTGGGACAACATTAAACGCACCAACACTCGAATTATAGGAGGCCCAGAAGAAGAAGAGAAAAAGAAAGGGACTGGGAAAATATTTGAAGAGATTACAGTTGAAAACTTCCCTAATACGGGAAAGGAAATGGTTAATCAAGTTCAGGAAGCGCAGAGAGTCCCAACAGGATTAATTCAAGGATAAACACGCCAAGACACATATTAATCAAACTATCAAAAATTAAGTAAAAAGAAAAAATATTAAAAGCAGCAAGGGAAAAACAACAAATAACATACAA